TACAAAGCGCTTTTTATCAAGTGAGGAATTGGCGTAGTGTCTAAGGCGACGGACGATTATCCAAAAGATGTCTTCAGTTCAAGTTCGAATCTCACTAGAGAAAATATTAAAAATTATGAAAAAATAATGTAGAAAAATTTTTTTTGTCATAGTATTTTATGAGTATTTATGAGAAAGCGCTTATTCTATAAGTAATTATGAAAAATTATGAGAAAATTTAATTGAAGAACCTACGAAACGACAGGATCTGCGCGCAATCTGCCGCCAATCTGCCGTCATAGTCTGTCGACAGGCTCTGCGCGCAATCTGCCGCCAGTCTGTCGTCAGAGTCTGTTCGCAGACCCTGTCAACAGTCTGGCGACAGATTGGGGACGCAGATGTCTATAGATCTGTCGACAGATCCTGCTCGGATTCGACAGATCCTGTCGACAGTCTGACGTCAGTCTGCGCGCAGATTGCTTACTGGGAATCTAGGATGAGAGTTTATAATGATTAGGATAAGATTATGCAGTCTAGTTAGTAGATCTTACGAAGTTCTTAAGAATTGAATTAAAATTAGATTTAGGATTATGATTGGGAGTTCTCCAGCCAATGTTGGAGACTTGAGGGATAGAGAGGTGTTCCGACGCCTCCGCGACTTACCTACTACTGACTGCCTCACCAGTGTGCACAGTTTTACTCCGCTTACAGCATGACGTAGGCCACGCACACAGCGAGCGACCGAGTCCGTGAGCGGCGGCTCGACAGCGGCGCGCAGGAGGGGATACGCGTATACGGCTGCTTGCCGTGTACGCGCTTCGACCGAGCTATAATATATGTCGGTCGCGTACACTATAGCTATCGTTCGGGGAAGAAAGAGGCAGCAAATGCATGCTCGGAAAAGAGAGAGCAGACGGCCGGCGTGAAACTTATGCTTATGCTGTTTGTCGTTTCTCGCCGTGCGCGCACTTCCTTCTCGCACCTATTAATTATACAAATATTTAAATTACATACAAATGTGTTAAATATTAAACATCAAAATATTAAGAATAATAAAAAGATAAATGCATCCGCTTTTCATAGATCATTAATATAGATTATTAATGATCAGATCCAAGCCGATGTTAATAAATATATCTATCCATATAGTTCGTCCTATACTTTCCAACAAATTTATTCGTTAATAATTTGAATTGCACAATAATTATTGCGAAAATTGAAAATAATAAAAGATTTTTCTCTTGAATTTAATTTTCTTCATCCGCGCACATAGAAGTTTAGCATTGTCAAATGTATTATAATATTGTAATATGTATATGTATTGTAATATTTGCATTAT